TTGTCTTTTTTTTTTTATTTATTTCTTTTTTCTGGTATATTTGAATTTCATCATGCTTTGAATCAAACATCTTATACCTTGATTTGATTCTGTTGGAGAAGAACATTTAATTTGTACATGGAATTTGGATGAAGTCAGACAAGTAGTTCGAGATAGGGTCCTAGAATGACCTGATCATATTCAAGATACAGGTGATCATGCTCGAGTTACAGTTGTTAAAGATGCATGGCTCCAGTTAGGGTTCTCAGATGACTTGTCCATACTCGAGCCTCAAAGAATGGAGTTGTTATAGGCAAGGTTCTGAAAACTGGACCGACCATTGAACTTGTCAAGCAATTGGTGGAATTGTTCACTGGTTGGACAAATGGTTGAACCCAGTTGTACCGGTATTTAATTTATTAATATTTTTAGTATAAAATTGTATATATAAGAAAATCTTTTATAAATTTTTTAGATAATTTGAAACACTTAGTTGTTGTAGCTAATTGATATAATAATTTATGCATATCTAAAAAAATTTAAATATATACTTATATATAAAAAAAATTAATATATTAAAAATATTAAAGATAATTATATATAAAAAAATAAGAACTGGTTCGACCGGGTGGCTTTTGATCGATTCAAATGGTCAAAGATCGATTCTCGGCCGATTCTTTCACAACCAACTTTTTTAAGAGAACCGTATCAGACATGGCCAATTCTCAATCCAATTGGTCCGGTCTGATTCTCAGTAGTCAGGGTGACAAACCCTCAAGTCTTTTGAAAAATGTGGGTCACACGTGAGAGAAAAGAGAGAGAATCATGAGACGTCTCGAGAAAAAGAAAGAATGTGTTTTCTAGTTCTAAAAAGTCTTCTTTTTTCTCATGAAGACGATCCATTGGACTTCCAAATAAGGTTCTATAAATCGTTGCCCACACGAAGTTAGTGAAAGAATACAACGAAAGATCATGAGACAAATAAGGCTTCTGGCAGGGGTGGATCAGGCAAAAATATTAAGGGGGTGCCAAATTACTTAACGAAAAAATATAAAATATTATAACGAAGAGTGCAAATACATAAATATACCTTCATAGTCGTTCTTTACGAGTTTTCATGGTCTGATTTCACTCAATAATAACATCATTACTAATTTTCAAAAAGGTTTCCTTTTCTACATATCACACTTTAAAAAACTATAAACACATTAGGGATTGAATTTGAAGTTTCTATATAAAAAGAATAAATTTACCATTACCTTAAAAATAAAAAAGAATAATTTTTACCTCCATCAAAATAAACATAAACAGATTTTGTTACCTCGGTCTTCTCAAACAATTGGACTAAATATTGATAAACTTTTTTACTCTTTTCTCTCTTTCTCTTCTCTTCTTTCCCCTCTTCTCTTTTTTTTATAAGATAACATTTTTTTTTTCAGTGTGGGCCTAGGCCCACACTGGTCCTTCTTTGCATCTGCCCCTGGCTTCTGGTTTTTTGTCCCGTTGACCGAGTATTGTCATCTACAATGCATTGGGTCTAGTCTTGCCTATATGGCATGTAAATAAACCCAAGTCTTGGATGACATGGATAAAATTATGTAAAATGAACAAAATCTACTCCAATGCAAAGAGACTAAGTCTCTGCTTGGGTCTAAAATAGACTTAAGGGGAGACCGGGTCTCTTTTTCTGGGTGTCATATCAGCAGGACCCAGTCTACTTTTATTTGCATTGGAAAATACATTTTTTTAGACTGAGTCTATTTCTTAGGTGACATATATTTTTTTGAGATTGAACTCAAAGTATTGTGAATGCTCTTAGAGTCGGCATTATTATTAAACGGTCCAACAAGATAATTCTATATTCCATTGTACATAAGATTTAAGTTGTGATTGAACAAATACTTAGTTTACGATGATCTTCATATGCTTATGTCTACTTCTAAAGTTGTATTGTCGTACCTAGAATTTGGCCTCCTTTGCCGTGGTGGACTTGGAGCTACTTCATAGTCTTCTTTTTCTGGTGGCTCAATCTCGGGTCTTGTGAATGGCGAACTCAAATTGATCTTGTATTGCTCGATTTACTTTATTATACCGTTTTTATTTACGTATCGGAGTTATCAACTGTCACCGCATGACGTTCCATATACTCGGTCAAATTCGACAATTTTCATATCTTTTGTTTTGTCGTTTGAGCTTTTCGAGTCATCTACCTACTGATAATCGGAATAGATATGCCCATCGACTATTGTCGGTAAATCCATCTCGACTATTACATATTACTCAGTGAATTAATCTCTTGATTACTCTTGATAATTCAAGAATTTTCTATTAATTAATAGTCGGTGGTGTATTTAATTAACATAAATAAGTGTAGATACAATATTTTTTTGCTATAGCTTAGCGACTCTTCAAATATTAGTATTAAAGTTTATCGCGAACCTCATAATGTGTAAAACTCTCAAGCTTCAAAAATAAAAATAGATCAACAATATGCGATGAATTCTCTTAATAATGTTTTTGCACCCAATCTTTACGAAAAATTGAATCTACTTAATAATTTAGTTACTATAAGAAATAATGACATCATACATGTTTTGAAAATGATCATTGGTTCACAAATTTAAGTGGCGTTCACAATTAGTTTTTCCATAAATTTTTAAAATAATAATACCTTTTTTTTTTTGGCCAATTATTGCGCTAAAGGTGTAGGCCTTATAATTTGTCGTTGATTTTTTTGTGTTTATAAAACAACTATATAGATAAGATATAATGACATCATACATGTTAAGAAGCATTGATGAGATATCCCACTTTACTCCAGATTATATGCGACACAAATGGAGATACACATATATTTGAATTCAAACATCAAGTTATAAATGATGAAAGCTAGGCTAAGACTATTATAAAACGTTGAAGGTATAGCTAGTAGAAGCTATACGTCACCTTTTTACCCGTTTAGTGCAGGCAAATAAAATTGCAATCTAAAATTTGCCACCCTTTTCAAATGAAAGAATGATGGTTTTGGAGAAACTTATAAAAGAGTTCAATTATACAAGTACTGTTCACTGATTAATTGCAACCACGCATGCACCAAAAATTTGTTGGGCCAAAAATTTCTCACGTAATCGTGAAGAGTTGACTTATAACTATTATTGGTGAGCCAAGTAAATTATAAATTATTAAATAAACATATCAAATTGCAAAATATGTTTTTAATATAAACTATAATTTACTTTTCGGTTAACCGACCGAATAAACCAAGTATTTTGGTTCGATTTTAATTTAGTTTGGGACAACAGTTCAGTCGATTAAGCTTTTCCAAAAGTTCGATTATTTCAATTATAACATTTTGGTAAGTCGGTTTAAACGAACCGACCGATGAACAACATTTTGCATTCCGCAACGCGTTGATAAATATTATAGTTTTTAAATTTTTAATGTGCATATACACATACTATTGTGCACTTTATTTATCGTTGTTGTACAATGCAATAAACAGTAATGTGAAATTATTAATTTTTTAATAAATTATATATATAACACATAAACTAAATTGTAAATATTGAAATTTCTAAGATTGCAATTAAGTCCCTAAGACTTATCAGATTTTCAAAAGAAGGCCCTATCCCAAATCCCAAAATATGATTTTCAACACAAGGCCCTATCCCAAATCCTAAAATCTTATTTTCATCATGGTGAACGTACGTCAGCCATCCAATCCGCATCCGCCGCAAAATCTCCCTCGGACGAGGATGAAAGGTTGCAGATGACCCGTGCTCGTCGTTCAAGGCATTCTTGTAGGTGGTGAGGAGGAGGAGGAGCTTGGCGTGGTACGGGGTGGAGCTCGACACCATCCACTCGTTGCAGTTGGCACTGAGGAACACGGTGAGGCGAGTCACTTGAATCCTTGGGGTTGGATTTGGCTGCTTGCAAGCTGCACTCGGTGGTTGTCGACACCAAACGTCGGAAGGCGACGACAATGCAGGCGGTAGGAACTGGCGGTGGTCGGCGACACCAATCGGCGGATCTGAGTGGATGTCTGCGTGTTTGTGCATGTATTTTGTTCGTGCGTATGTGTGAATTGAGTGTGTGTGTGTTTGTGTGTGACTAAGAGGGAAAGGTTGGTGGGATTGGTGGGGCCCACAGTAGGTGGATAGTCGATGACTGTGTAATGACAATATTGTCCTACTGAGTGGCCAAATGTATACATTTATTCACGAGATTGACCATCTGACCATGATAATGACCATAATGATCATTCGACCCTGATATGTACACTTATTTATGATAGTGCCACTACCTGTATGATCATTATTTACTAAATTTTGACATTATCATGACCTTGATATGGTGATATGGTGGATCTAATAGTACAATTTTATTCTTATTTATTTCACTATTTATCATTCTCATGTTATCTCATCTCTCTATCTCACATACAATTTATTATCTAATAATTAATGAACTTTAAATTCCACGACTTAGCAATGCAGACCCAAAATCAAAAATAGTGACTGCCACTAGAGGTGGAGATGATTATGAAGGAATAAAATTTAATATAACTTGCATACACAGTCACACACTCGAGAGTCAAAAACAATATGAACATCAAACATTACCATTACAAGGACAACCGTAACATTAAGATACTATTTATTTCAAGCACCACAACCTTAAAGCACTACAACAAGAAAACACACCTTTATTCATTCATGTCCTTCCTAAAGTACGAGCTCAAAACCCCAAACAGCACAAGTATTCTTACAGCATAAAAGCTCACATTTCACAAACAAACGTGGCAAAGTTAACAAACAAGACCTTGTTGAATCAAAAAGGCCAAAAGTATTCTCAAGANTAGAGAGAGAGATAAAGAAAAAGCATAAACATTAATTAATGTGGGGCCCTCATCACCAAACACGCATGCTCTCAGTCCATGGAGTTTTTCCCAATAGTCCTCCAAAAAAGGGCCCTCATTTACAGCCAAGCACACCACTACAACAATTAACAACACCATGCGTTTCAAACCTTTGCATAACTTAACTTTTAAAAATGACCATTTCAAGTCAACAAGTATAAGGCCCAGCTTCTATTGTTTATGTTTTTGCCTTCCCTACCTTGAGAGCAAATGAGTGACAGAGAGTAGAAAGAGAATTTTTAGAACTTCATCAAAACACGTTTTCCCGTTGGCCTACGGTGCACTAATAGTGAAAACGCAAGACAAATTTTCGAGTTACGAACCACATCAAGCGAGACCGAGAGCTTCTGCTTCGATTTTCATTGATTCCAAATAAACAATGGCTTTCTCGATTATGTTGACCGGGTCTTTAAGACTATCCAATTCAGGAACGAGACTACCGAGAATTTTCAACATCTCGCGTATTTTAACCTTCTTTTCCCTTTTACTCAAATCAATATAATCCTCGTAATTGACCAATGAAGATGATGATGATTTATTGTGCCCGCCATAAAGCAATCGTTGCCTTTTTGACGAGCCATCACAGCTAGCGACTTCTTCTATGAGCCCGTCAAATGATTTTTCTTTATGATAATAGCCCTCTTCGGTTTTAAATGAGATGCGCCTCGTGCTAGTTACTTCATTATTATCTTCGTCTTCATCATCATCATCACTATCAGAGTATAGAAGGGCATCAATTTCTTCACTATCATTGACCATCTCATCTTCTCCTCCATCGTTCAAATAATTCTCATCCCATTTTTCTTTGTTCGACAGCTTGTCAGCTCGAGCTGCCACTTTTTTATCTTCAGGGGCAATAACGGGAGTTTGCGGAGAACAAAAGGAAGGGCTAAAGAAATATGTAGTGTGATTCTCAGATCGATCGAAAATGAGGAACTTTTTTTCTTGAGGCACACGAGGAGGATCGATTGGCTTGTCCGGAAGATTGAGCCCATGCGTAAGGGCATTTTGGGAACTTCGAAAATCGGAATTTATCTGTCCTTGAAAAGCAACATCCGCAGTCAGTGAAGACAGATTAGAATATGGCAAACCATAGTTTTGCCCGAGTTTTACATGTGCCATTTTATCGAAACCGGGCAATTTAGACGTTTGAGAGTCCTTGACTGTAAACATCCGGCCAAGAGATATATAAAAGAAGCGAAAATATCCGGGATAAAGGAAGGAAAAAATATAAAAGGACACGAAATATGTTCCTAGCTTGAAGGGAGAGACGAAAAATTCGGAACAAATCTACGTTACGGGTTTCAGCAAGTGTCGGAAATATTCAGCCTGAAATGAATTTAAAGAAAGAAAAAAAGGAGCAAAATCAGCAGCCATTTACGATTATCATCAAGAATAGAGATTATAACATTTTGGGAAACAATTAGTTGATAATGCTGAAAACATAATGAAACAAACCTGGCAATTCTGTAAAGGTTGAAAGCATGCTATAACTCTAACAATAATTGTTGTTCTTCCAGCAATTCCATTCTCATGTTTAAGTGCCCTAAACTTCGTCTGGCTAGCTGCTTGGCACACCATAACTACTCTCGACTCTAGCGGATTTTAAGAATGAAAATAAGAGTGAAAAGCTAACTAGACAAGAATTGAAAAGCTAAACAAGATCAAGAAAGTGGTGAACTATATTGGGAATATTGATTTAGTAATCTATTGGCTAAAACTATAGAATATAAAAGAAACAGACAAAAGAAGGGAAGTGAGTGGATCCCATGGATTTCTAATCAAAAGATTGCATAAACGAAGGGTGAAGTTCAATGGGAGGATGAAAATTTATAGAATAACTCTACAGTATAAGTTCAAGGGGATAACATAACGGAAAACATCAATTGACGAGGTCAGCCACCACATATTGGTCAATTGTACATTCCAGTTTATCTTTCTTTGTTCAGTGTACGAAAAAATGTTCTACTCCACCTGAAATAACAACAGAAGTGGTAACAAGAGGAATTATTAGCATTTGAAATACGAAACTAAGGAAACAAATATGAGAAAGACAGATAATAAATCTTTTAAGAACAATCTAAGTAAAAATATTGGGATCAAGAACAATATCCAAAGAAACTCATTAAACCAGAAAGAACAATCTAAGCATCTTAATTACTTCCACAAACCACAAAGAACAATATCCAAAGAAACTCATTAAAAAAATTTCCTTTCTATTCTATTTTTTTTTTCTTTTTTACTCAAAAATTGAATTTTCAGAGGTGCACCCAACAAGAGTAAGAAACCCATCACGAAAATCAAATCGACAACGACAATATACAGAGCGTATGCTTCTATGTGTATGTATCACGCATATATATTCAGAGAAGCAGTAAAGCAAATAAGCCCATAATCAATTGCGAATGTCTGAGTAAAAAGCTCACCAGATGGAGGTGCAAGAATGACAAAAGTTTGAATCTTTACAGCGAGCGGTAGGTAGCTTTTATGTGGTGCAGAGAGGTTATGAGAAGAAAGAGAAAGGTTAGGAGTTGATCAGCTGAAAGCACTAAAGGCAGGCATCAAACAATGGTGTGTGCTCTAATTATATAAACAATTTGGATGACAGTTATATCCTTTTCTTTTCTTTTTTTCTGACTTTGTTTTTGCCTTTTTTTCTATTTAATATAAGGGTGTAAACGAGCCGACCCGAGCACGACCTCATGCTGCTCGAGCTCGAGCTCAACTCAATTATTAATATGATCGAGTCAATTTCGAACTTTAACGAACCGAACTATAGAAAATACATAAAAAATTATCTTTTGAGTCTTAACGAACCGTATTTAACTAAACGAGTTTTAAATAAACTCGAGCTCGACTCGTTTATCAAACAAGCTGAGCTGAGCTCGAGCTTAACAAGCCAAGTCAAGCCGAGCCGAGCTCACGAATGGCTCGTTTAATTTAACGGCTCATTAACATTGTACTCATACAAGAAAAACATTTTTGTTTTTTCATGTACATTTGTATTTATATAGAACATATTACCAAAAAATTACGAAAGCTTTTTTCTTGTACATATATATATATATATGTAGCACATTAACTATAAAAGTATTTTCAATTGTTGACCAATGTTGAGCGAGGACAACTTCGGTTTTAAGCTGCCATAAGTGTTCGTCCATGGACGAGTCTCTACTTCATGTTCTTCGTAATTGACCCGACGCTAATCAAGCATGGGTCCTCCTTGTTCCGCCGCGTGTTCGTCACCTTTTCTTCAGTTTAAATTTGAAGAAGTGGCTCGGTTCTAACTTATTGAACTTGTTCGATATTCTTGTTGACGCCAACTGGGAGTGTTTTGTTTGGAGTGACCTTGTGGAAATTATGGCAATGGTGTAATATTGCTAATTTTCAAAGTCGTGGCAAGGAAGCCAATGATAAGGTTCATGAGATCAATAGCTTCGTTAATGGCGTGCTCCAATTTGCGAAGAGCGACAAGAAACTTGGTGGCATCGGTGTTTCTGGTGGCCAGCATCTTATTCGTTGGTTGGCTCCACCGACGAGTTGGGTGAAAGTGAATTCGGATGGGGTCTATAACAAATCCTCGGGTATGGCTTCAACCGAAGGGTTGATTCGTGACACTCATGAGAAATGGTTAGAAGGTTTCATGAGAAATATTGAGATGTGGTCTATCACGGGAGGAGTTATGGGGGCCTATTTCACGATCTTAATATGGCTTGGGATATGGGATATCGTCAGGTTGAGGCGGAAGTGGACAATGCCAACATCGTGGGTTTTGCGAATAATACGGAAAATTTAAGGAGTGCTCGTTCTGGTTTGGTTCTCGAGATACGAGAACTACTCAGTCAAGATTGACAGGTCAAGATTTCTCATATCTTTCGAGAGGCGAATTTCGCGGCTGATTTTTTGGCGTCTCAGGCGGCCTCGAGGCCTTTCGGTCTCCAACATCTTTCAGCTCCATCGTCCGATGTTGTCCCACGGCTCGAGCATGATGTTATTGGTGTCTCTTATTCTCGAAACGTTAAATCCTAACATTGCTTTACGTTAATCTCTC